GTCTTTATATGTGTTTATAGATTTAGGAAGCTTTTTCTCACACTATGATGTTGCAGAATTATGTTGTGATCCTGCGAAACATTACAATATTCCTCTGTGTTTCTGTCTTGTTTTCTACAAAGAAAAGCACTTTACTGAAAAATTATTTATAAACCATTACGTTGTTTTTTTTTACAGTCAAACTAAAATTTACTGGAGAAGAAGCAAAATATTAAATCTGAAAAAATGAAGTAAGTTTGTGTTAAAACAAGAACAAATATCTGTCAATCGAGTCAGAAAAATAATCTAAATTCAAAGGGAAACAAGATTATTTTTCTGACTCCAATGTGTCCGTTACAATTAATAATTTAGCCGAAATATGCAAGTTGTCAATCATATTTTGTGGATGAAGTGGGCGGTAATCAGGAGGTTATTTTTCCACCTAATTTGATTTGTGAAATCTATGGCGTGTCAGATTTATTATAAACCATACGCCATAGGAAGCGGTCTCATGTATCATCTCTTAACTGACAGGTACAAAATGAATCAAATGTATTCTGGGCCTTTTTATCCAGTAATTTCATTAAGATGGAGGACAGAGTGAGCTTTAATTTGATTGGTTCCTCGTATCAAGCGAGTGTTTCCTCTGCTCTGTTTAGCTTTTCATGTAAAAATGATTTATTTGGCCTGTTCCGGCACGTAACCCAAACCTCTGAAAGTGATATGAATCTGAGACTGATTCTAATCATGTGAAGCTCAAATCTCATTTGGATCCCGATTAAAGCTTTCCCTCTTCTATCTGCATCAACTCGTTACATTATAATTCAGGACAAGGCAAGGCGGATTACACCCACTCTATAATTAAGAGCTTTTAAATTCTCAGTTACATGTGATTTTTGATTCGATTTTAGATGAATGACGATATTTTGGTCAAATTTACCATATATAAACCTTACACTGGAAAAAAAATATGTTCTTCCTCAGTGTTTCTGTCTTGTTTTCCAGCACAAATATCTAAATATTCTTAAATCAAGATACATTTACTGGAGAAGAAGCAAAATGACTGAAGATATTAAGTGTTGATTAATAAAATAGTGATCAAAATGCTTAAAACAGGAAAAAAATATCTGCCAATGGTGTCAGAAAAATAATCATGTTTCCTCTTTGAATTAAGTTTATTTTTTCTGACCAAATTGGAAGATATTTTTTTCTTATTTTAAGCATTTTTTTTTTTTTTTGAGAACAAAACTTTTTATATATTTGTACTGGGGCTTTCAAGTGTTTAAAGTTTTTAATGTAATTAATTACATGACGTGCCGATTATTTAATCGATCCCCCAAACAATCTTTTAAAGTCATTGTGTTTGATGAGAAAAGGGTAACACTTTACTTGAAGGGGTGTTCATAAGACTGTCATGACACCTTCATAATCATGACATGACACATGTCATGAATATGAAGGAGGTTTATGCATGTTTATGACAACTGTCATTAAGTGTCATTCGCTCAATTATGACATTTTTAATGCAAATATGACATTGTTTGAGATGTCTTTGTCATGACAACTTGACATTACCAAGACAACACAACCTGTCATAAACATGACATAGCAGATAAATTATCAATAATTTAGAAACTACTTAGCTTCAGTAGTTAAGAAACTACTTAATGTCATTAAATGACATTGTAATGACAAATTCAATGTGTACCACTGTAGTCGAGGTCAAGAAATATATTCATGACACAGTTATAATGCCTCATGACAGCCAATGTGAAAACTAACCACATGACAGTTTAATGTAATGTTAACCCATAAAGCTAAGTGCTTTCTTAAGTTTGATAATTAATCTGCTATGTCATGTTTATGACATATTTATGACAGGTTGTGTTGTCTTGGTAATGTCAAGTTGTCATGACAAAGACATCTCAAACAATTTGCATTAAAAATGTCATAATTGAGCGAATGACACTTAATGACAGTTGTCATAAACATGCATAAAACCTCCTTCATATTCATGACATGTGTGTCCTGTCAGTCTTTATGACAGGTTGTGTTGGTAATGTCAAGGTGTCATAACAAAGACATCTCAAACAATGTCATATTTGCATTAAAATTGTCATAATTGAGCGAATGACACTTAATGACAGTTGTCATAAACATGCATTAAACCTTCATATTCATGATGTGTCATGATTATGAAGGTGTCATGTCAGTCTTATGCACACCCCTTCAAGTAAAGTGTTACCACACACACTTTTAAAGTCCCCCTGTGGTGTAAATCCAGCGTTTAATGTTGTTTATGTGTCTATGTGGTGTTATTAATACGCTTTAAGACACACCATGTGTAAGTTCATAAGTCGACAGCATTGCTGAGTATTTCCTCCTTAAAACTGCAGTGAACCAAAGACAGTCTCAAAAACACGGTTTGAAATCGCTGGTGTTTCTGACGTCACAAACGACCTTGTAACCAATCAGATCAACGTGTGATCGTCAACCAGTGGATCTCTGAGCTGAGGGAGTGAGTGGAGGCGGGGCTCATTTGCATATTCATAGAACCGCGCTTTCTAAATGAGGCGAGGGTGTCGAGTTACATTTTTTCAAAGACATTTTTTTAAATATGTTATTTTGGTGATCAAAGATTAGTTTTAGAGAATAAAATGATTGACTCATGGGAGACTGTAAACAGTCTTCCAGGGAATTCCCAGAATTCTTTGGAATTTCAATGATTGTCCAAATCTAATGTTGCAGCCTGAGATCATACTGTAAGTGCATCTATGATTCATATGATCTTTATATCTGATGGAGAACAGGATTTGAGCATGTTTGCTCTACTTGTGATAACATCAGTTAAATATTAGTGATGGTCCTTAAACAAAAGAGAGCTCAGTATTGTCTAGATCAGAAGTAAACTGTTTAGATTGGCAGCTGCTGATGTCTGACTCAATATCTCAGTCTAAACTAAAGCCAACTGCAAATGTGATATTGAATTTATACATTTTAGACACAATATTGCCAGTTTTGCCAATAAAAGTAGCCCTAAACGAAGCCAGAGCAGAACTGCAACACGTCTCTGAGAAACACAGCGGTGATTCATTACTGAATGAATCCACTGTTTTTAACGACTCGAGTGAGTCATTGATTCAGTGAATCATTCATTAAGACGCCACACGCTTCGTTCCTGAATGAATGATTCAATGACTCACTCATTAAGACAGTGATTTGCCTTTCATATTTAGAGTATCATTTAATTTTTCATTCATTTCCATGCACCTCTGAGCTGCATTAAACAATCTGTGTAAAATATACCTGAATGCCACTTCAGCGTCTGAAAAAACATTATGGCCACATTTATCCCTTAAAAATCATCTTTGATCACCAAAATGACATTCAACTCGACACGCTCGCCTCATTTAGTATGCGCGGTTCTATGAATATGCAAATGAGCCCCGCCTCCACTCACTCCCTCAGCTCAGAGATCCACTGGTTGACGATCACACGTTGATCTGATTGGTTACAAGGTCGTTTGTGACGTCAGAAACACCAGCGATTTCAAACCGTGTTTTTGAGACTGTCTTTGGTTCACTGCAGTTTTATAGAATATTTTTATAGAATATTTTTATAGAATATTTTTCAGATATTTTTCTGCAGGAAATACTCAGCAATGCTGTCGACTTATGAACTTACACATGGTTTGTCTTAAAGCGGATTAAAAACACCACATAGACATAAACAACATTAAAAGCCGGATTTCACGGGGCTCATTTGCATATTCACAGAACTGCGCATACAAAATGAGGCAAGGGTGTCTTTTTTAAGACAAAGTTTTTTTTAAGGAAAAAACGTTTAAATATGTAATTTTGGTGTTCAAAGATGAGTTTCAAGAGATCAAATGATTGACTACAGGGAGACTTAAAGTGTTGACTTAATTCATGTTAACAAATGTGTTAAAACGTTATAACAAGCGATGTTATGTTAGCAATGTGTCAAACATGCTATAGAAACATACTAATTCATGCTAGCAATGTATTCAAATGTAACAAACGCAAAACATAAAATAATGTTAGACACATGCTAAGACAGGCTATGAAGCTTATAAACTTTAAAACTTTGTTTCAGGCGAGCCTTTATCACGCTAACATAAAAGTTTGTCCCAACAATTCAGCTCAAGTTTTGTTCTCATCTGATACACTAAAAAATCTTGGGGTTTTTTTTCTACCCAAATCCTGGGTTGTTTTCTCAGTGTTTGGGTAGTGTTTATGTTACCCAGCTCATGGGTCAGACGTAACAACCCAATGTTTAGGTAGTTTTTGTGTACTTCTAATGTTTAATTTGTCCGAGCTTAATGTAATGCAATATTCAAAACTATATAAAATATGCTATACTGTGAAATATGATTAAAAAAATAAAGGAATTATCATGCAAACCAGTGGTTGTGTGGAACCTTTTTTTATACAAGTTTAGAGGATTTAAGTTAATATGTAAAATTTATGTATGAAGTAAAACAAAAAAGAGCTACAAATGAATCAACCATTATGCTGGGTTAAATAAACGACCCAATTTGCTGGGTAAAATCAATCCAACACGTGTTCTGTCCTGTATACCCAGCCCTTGGGTTGAAAACAACCCAAATTTGGTTGTGTTTTTAGAGTGTAGTGTCAGTGCAGTCAGATCAATAATATTGTCTTTAAACCCCAACTAAGCAAGACAATATTTTTTTCCCATTAAGGAAATGAGCTCTTTGTTTAGAGCAGATATGAATGGTTGTGATTCTATAGTATATTGTACGGGACGCGCTGGTTGTTTTGGTAAGGGCGTCCCGTTATATGTGTGTGTGTGTGTGTGTGTGTGTGTGTGTGTGTGTGTGTGTGTGTGTGTGTGTGTGTGTGTGTGTGTGTGTGTGTGTGTGTGTGTGTGTGTGTGTGTGTGTGTGTGTGTGTGTGTGTGTGTGTGTGTGTGTGTGTGTGTGTGTGTGTGTGTGTGTGTGTGTGATGGGCGGTTCAGTCACTCATGACTTTATTCCCTCCACACCAGGACTTGCAACTCCTGGAAAATGAGAGCGAGAGAAGCGCTGAGAGTTTAGCAGAACCCAGGTTGAATTACATCTAAATGTTTAATTTTTACTTCTAATATTTGGATCCCAGCCGAACATGGACGCGCAGAACAGCACCGCGGCGCGCGGGATCGAGCCCAGGATTCCCACCATTCCCGCCATCATGTTCATATTCGGGGTCATCAGTAACATAATCGCCATCATCGTGCTCTGCAAATCCAGAAGAGAGCAGAAGGAGAGCACGTTCTACACACTGGTCTGCGGTCTAGCGGTCACGGATCTTCTAGGAACAATCCTCGCCAGTCCAGTGACCATCGCTACATATGTGAAGGGCGCGTGGCCTGATGGAGACCCGCTGTGCCAGTACTTCGGATTCGTTTTGCTATTTTTCTCCCTGGCAGGGTTGAGCATAATCTGCGCCATGTCCATCGAGAGATACATCGCTATCAACCACGCGTATTTCTACAACGATTACGCGGATAAGAAACTCGCCGGAGTGACGCTTCTCGCCATTTACGCATCAAACATCATGTTCTGCGCGCTCCCGAGCGCGGGTTTCGGAGAGGTTAAGATGCAGTATCCTCAAACCTGGTGCTTTATCGACTGGAGGACCAATGTCAGCACGCATGCCGCGTTCTCCTACATGTATGCTGGCTTCAGCTCGCTCCTGATCCTGGTCACGGTGATCTGTAACGTGTTGGTGTGCGGCGCGCTCATCCAGATGCACCGGAGCTTCGTGCGGCGCACGTCTCTCGGCACTGACCCGTTCCGAGCGTCTGACCCCGGCAGGACCCGCAGCTTCGGCCGCCTGGCAGGCGCGGAGATCCAGATGGTGATTCTCCTCATCGCAACATCTGCTGTCGTGCTCATTTGCTCCATCCCGCTCGTTGTAAGCTCTCGGAACGCTTTGTGTCCCGCTTTATCTCTCCAATTCTGTCTCAGATATGCCCATCTTATCGGCAAAACAAAAACTTTCTCACGATCTGCGTCGTGATTTTCCACTGCATTGTGCGATTTAGAATGAATCACAGAGGATGATGATGATAAAGTCTTAAAGGAATATGCTGAAATAGTCTCGGGTCACGGTGTCATCTCACAATATAAATATTTTGAAATACAATATTGGTTCAAAACAAGAACTTTCTCACGATCTGATTTTCCTTCAGTGTCATTTTTCTGTATTGTGCTACAGATTAGAATGGATCCAGTCCGATCTCATGAAAAAAGTGCGTCGAATTCTATTTCTCGTGCCATTTATACGCCAAAAATTGTTTTTGCGTGCATATGATACACACTTTATGGCGTGTAATACGCACGCACTCCTCACCCCTAATCCGACAGTGGTTTACAGTGCGTATCATTTGCACGCAAAATTATTTTTTGGCGTATAAATGGCACGAGAAATAAAATTGGCCCAGGTTTCCACTTTATTTCGATAGTCCACTTTAGACATTCTACTTAGGCTACTGTAAGTATCTTTGCAACTACTGTACATGTCAACTAACTCTCATAGACTGCAGTAGTCTGTTAGGTTATGGTTAGGTGTTAGGGTTCGGGTTAGGAGAATAAATTGACTTGTAAACTTAATCACTCCAATTCTGCGGTCAGTCTCAGATTTGACTGTGTTATCGACAAAACAAGAACGTTCTCACGATCTGCGTCGTGATTTTCCTTCATTTCTTTGTGTGTGTGTTTTTTTTTTTTTTTGTTGCATTGTGCTTCAGATTAGAATGAATCTCAGAGGATGATGATAAAGTCTTAAAGGAGTATAAATATGCTGAAATAGTCTTGGGTCACGGTGTCATCTCAACTATATTAAAATACAGTAAAATAAAGGTTCTAAAACAGGGGTTCCACAGATGCAAAAGAGGAACCATTTTGGTTCCCTAAAGAATCTTTCAGTGAACAGTTCTTAAAAGAACCATTTTTAAAGTGTGAAGAACATTTAAAAAATCTAAATAACCCTTTTCCTCCATAAAGATGTTATAGGTTTTTTCATGAAACCATGCATTCTTAAAAATAAAGGTTTCACATTTAACATGGTCCATGGAGCCTTTTTTTCTCCTTTAGATTATAAAATATTCTTCACACTAAATGGTTATTTTAAGAACTGATGACTGAAAGGTTGTTTCTTCTATGGTATCTGCATATATATATATATATATATATATATATATATATATATATACACTCACCGGCCACTTTATTAGGTACCCCATGCTAGTAACGGGTTGGACCCCCTTTTGCCTTCAGAACTGCCTCAATTCTTCGTGGCATAGATTCAACAAGGTGCTGGAAGCATTCCTCAGGGAGTTTGGTCCATATTGACATGATGGCATCACACAGTTGCCGCAGATTTGTCGGCTGCACATCCATGATGCGAATCTCCCGTTCCACCACATCCCAAAGATGCTCTATTGGGTTGAGATCTGGTGACTGTGGAGGCCATTTTAGTACAGTGAACTCATTGTCATGTTCAAGAAACCAATTTGAAATGATTAGAACTTTGTGACATGGTGGAAGTAGCCATCAGAGGATGGGTACATGGTGGCCATAAAGGGATGGACATGGTCAGAAACAATGCTCAGGTAGGCCGTGGCATTTAAACGATGCCCAATTGGCACTAAGGGGCCTAAAGTGTGCCAGGAAAACATCCCCCACACCATTACACCACCACCACCAGCCTGCACAGTGGTAACAAGGCATGATGGTTCCATGTTCTCATTCTGTTTACGCCAAATTCTGACTCTACCATCTGAATGTCTCAACAGAAATCGAGACTCATCAGACCAGGCAACATTTTTCCAGTCTTCAACTGTTCAATTTTGGTGAGCTCTTGCAAATTGTAGCCTCTTTTTCCTATTTGTAGTGGAGATGAGTGGTACCCGGTGGAGTCTTCTGCTGTTGTAGCCCATCCGCCTCAAGGTTGTGCGTGTTGTGGCTTCACAAATGCTTTGCTGCATACCTCGGTTGTAACGAGTGGTTATTTCAGTCACTGTTGCCCTTCTATCAGCTCGAACCAGTCTGGCCATTCTCCTCTGACCTCTGGCATCAACAAGGCATTTCCGCCCACAGAACTGCCGCTCACTGGATGTTTTTTCTTTTTCGGACCATTCTCTGTAAACCCTAGAGATGGTTGTGCGTGAAAATCCCAGTAGATTAGCAGTTTCTGAAATACTCAGACCAGCCCTTCTGGCACCAACAATCATGCCACGTTCAAAGTCACTCAAATCACCTTTCTTCCCCATACTGATGCTCGGTTTGAACTGCAGGAGATTGTCTTGACCATGTCTACATGCCTAAATGCACGTAGTTGCCGCCATGTGATTGGCTGCTTAGAAATTAAGTGTTAACGAGCAGTTGGACAGGTGTACCTAATAAAGTGGCCGGTGAGTGTATATATATATATATATATATATTAAAGTGTTTCGTCAAGATCAGTATTTCGTTTCTTTAGTAATTCTTGTTGGTGGCATTTGAAATGATCACAAATCCCAAAGTAAAGAAAACAGAACCATAATAGTATATATTTTGTTAGAATTGATAAATGATACTTACAATACTAAAGTTAACAAGATCTCCTCTAATGTGTCTGTGTTCAGATTGATGTTCATATTTTCTTTTGATGCAATGAAATTATAAAAATACAATATTGAAAACAAAACCTTTTAATGCTACTTCTAATCATGATGTTTTATTCCTTGAAGCATTTCGGTAAAAATGGACAAAATTAATGTCATTATAAAAAAAAAAAATCTCCCAAACTTATGAACATTTAATGTTTATAGTAAAGAACGGTTTAATTGCACATTTGTAAGAATTTAATTGATGATCACATTTACTGATATCATAACTGCCCCACTGCACATATTCACATGCAAAATGTTTTAATAATGTTTGTCAAATGCATACTGAAAATGTAGTGTCACTTTTTTTTTTTTAGGTCCAGGTGTTTCTCAACCAGCTTTACAAGACGCCAGTGGAGAAAAGGCTGGATCGAAACCCAGATCTGCTGGCGATCCGCTTCGCCTCCACCAATCCCATCCTGGATCCCTGGATCTATATCCTCCTGCGTAAAGCCGTGCTCTCCAAGCTCATCGAGAACATCGAGTGCCTCTTCTGCAGGCTTGAGGCTCAGAGACGGCGGGGACAGGGACTGGACGGAGCGCACGTGTCCTCAGTCTCCAGAGACTCTCCGTTTGCTGTGTCTGGAGGACTCGAAGAGCTCGCTGAAGCCCCTGACACCTGTCAATCAAACCTCTGTCTGTCTGAAGCGGCTTCTCAATCCTCCGATCGCAGCAGTTTAGACAGTCGCTCAAAAGAGCCGAGCTTACAGATGACTATAACCAACGAGACTCTCCAGGAGAAGAGCATTTAACTCTGAAGAGCGTCAAGAGAATCTAAAACAGCGACGCTTTAACCTCCATTTCACTGATTATTTATTTATTTGAGCGAATCATCTGTTTATCAGCTATAAAGTTGTTTATTGGTTCTTTATTGGTTCCATGAAGAACCTTTAACATCCATGATCCATTCCATAAAAGGTGTTTATAGTGGAAAATAAAAGGTTCTTTAGATTTATCAATGCTTGATATTGAATCGTTCACTGTAAGGTTTGGGGAACCACATTTTTTTTTCTTGCACTCTTAAAAATAAAGGTTCTTTATTGGCGTCGAACCTCTAACATCCATTTCACTGAATCTGATTATGTATTTATTTGAGCAAACCATCAGTTTATCAGCTATAAAGTTACTTTTTAAGTCTTTATGCTCTTAAAAATAAAAGTTATTTATCGGGATTGATGTTCCATTGAACATTTCCATTCCATAAAAGGTGTTTATAGTGAAAAATAAAAGTTTTTAGATTGATCAATGCTTGATATTGAATCGTTCACTGTAAGGTTTGGGCAACCAAAAAAAATTAATAATAAATGTTATTTATAGGCATCGATGGTTCCAAGAAGAACCTCTAACATGGAACATGGAATCTTTCCGTTGCACTAAAGGTTCTTTATAGTGGAAAAACAGGTTCTTCTGATTATTAACGTTCTTTACAATACAAGTTTTCTTTTTTTTTCTTTTTTACAGCGACGCTGTATATACAGTAGAAGTACCATTTTTGGTTCCCCAAAGAACCTTTCAGCGATCAGAACCATTTTTTCTTTGTATAAAGAACATTTAAAAAGTATTTAAAAAAAAAAACATTTTTCCACTGTAAAGAACCTTATATGTGGTTCTTCATGGAACCATCGATGCCAATAAACAACCTGTTTTTGTAAAACGTGAAAACTGGTGCAAAACCCCCTCTTCTAGAGCCTTTATTTAGGAGTGTAAGGACTGTTTTGATCGGTTCGGACAGTCCATGTGTTTGTTTTTCCAGAAGAGTTCAAATCAGTCACATCAAGATCAGCAAAAGTCGAGCCCTGCAGGAAATAAGATGTTTTGATAAAAACCTTTCCAGTTTCTCGGTGCGTCCTGCTTCCCAAACCGCAGATAAATAAATACGTTGTGTGTGCGGTTTGTTCTGGTGTGTGAGACGCTTCATCACCTGATCATAAACAGATCCCAGATAACCTGTGCCAACGCTCCCAGTGCTCTCTACACATTCAAAACCGACCGTTTAAAAAAAAATTCTAATGAAATCATTCCATTTTATCAGTTTGCAAACATTAACGGAATGCTTTTGAATGTAACATTCGAACATTCTGAAATAAATAGTAACATTTAAACGGAATGTTACTTTTGAATGTAACATTCCGAAGCAAATAGGAATGTTACTTTTGATTGTCATTTAAACATTCTTAAACTAGTAGTAACATTTAAAACATGTTAGGCCAATGTCCAACAAAAATGTTTCAGATAATTTCCTATTGACTTTGAGAGAATCTTGCCAGAAAGTTCTCGAACGTTTTCCCTGTGACAATCCTTCCAGAAATATCTGGGGGAAATAGAAGCAGACTTGATGTATAATGAAATATTTTGTTCAAAAAAAAAAAATCACAGAATCATCAGTGAATGAAAAGATTCCTCTGAGAAAGCTGCGAGGTTTGATTGGTAAATCTGCTGTGATTTGTTGTTTCTGGTGATGATGTTTGTTCACGACAGGCTTTTTTCCCACTCAGACTATTAGATAACAGAGAAGACTTCTAATCGAACGTGATTGAGTTCAGTGTGAGAATCAGCAGACGCCTGACACACACACACACACACACACACACACACACACACACACCCAGAGCTTCAGGCCAGGAATCCTCCAACCTCCGTGTCCTTCTGATCCTTTAATAAACATTCTTTACACTCAGGATACGGATGTCGTTTACAGGCTTCATAACCCGTGAGATGAAACTGTTCCCATGAAATGTTTGCTAATTATACTTAATCTTTGTTTACAATCACACAGACCAAAACAAATATGACCGCTGCTCTGTCCGGCTCTCCTGTGTTCATTAGAATAGATACAGTATTGATTACATGAGGGGTTTTCATGATGCCGATAAAGAGCCTTTATTTTCAAGAGTTTAGTCCATTCCTGTTGGTGAACTGATCACAAATCAGAAAGTAAAGAAAAAACAATAACCATAATTAACATATATTTGGTTAGATTTGATAAATGGTACTTTTTCCTTTTAAAGTTGCACCATGTCATTTTTTGTTCAAGATTTAAAAGAATGTAAATGATGAGTGGTAATCAATCAATTCTTCCAAAGCGTGTTTTTGTACCCTTTTCTTGAACAGATAAACTCATATAGCTCTATATCAGAGTTCATCATGGTTGTTGTGCTGGAGTTTATTAATGTGTAAAGATACAGTAAAGTCTTCTTGAGAAACTGGTTATATCTCTTAAACCTATAGTGAATGTTTTATGAGCAGCAGGATAATAATAATATCTCTCTTTAGTTATGAGAAAGAACCATATTCATCCGCAGAGCCGAAGCACAACTAAAACAATGTTCTTCCACAGAAATGCATGCAGTTTTGTTTTTTAGGGTTCATAGATTACATAGCCGACCTTTACTTACCATATAAGTATTTAAAAAAAATTATAATAATGATTTGTCTGTGTTCTGGTTGATGTTCATATTTTGACTGCTGGTCAAGTTTTTGATGCAATTGAACTATAAAAATATAATGTTGAAATGAATTGAAGTCAGACCTAATCATTAGATGTTGTTTTTATTCCTTTAAGCGTGTCAGCATAATTAGTATTCAGAACATCTACAACATTTCATGAATAAATAAATAAGCAAATGATTCAAATGTTTTCTGTTTTACACCTTTATAAAGTCGTCCTGCTGGTGAAGTTTATCCTTATAATGATTCTGATACTCTGTGTTTGATATTAAAGTCTCTTTAGATTATAAAGAGTCTCTGTTTATAATATTATCCTGATGGATTATTATAGTAAATAATCATGAGTGTAAATGGGAGAAGTTGTTCTGATCAAGAGCAACGGATGCTGTTGTTCATCATTAATTTGAGGATCTTTTCTTTAGTTTCACATGTTACAGAACAAGCCGGAGGACCAACGCCACAGTTATGCGCCTCAGATTAATAGTTTGTAAGATATGGAAGTCTAAACACACTATCTTGAGCTTTGCCAGTGTTACCTGTACGAGTGTCTCCATCATCTGGCCGCAAACCACCATTGCTAGAATACATTAAATAATTAAAACTTTCTGCTTTAAAAAGTTTTTTTTAAAGGTTTTCTGCTTTATATCTTTATTTGAATGTGCTTCACTCGTTCATAAACTGAGAAACTCTTTCTTTCTTCATATTCGCATTCCTCTTATACTTCAGCTCTTCATTTCCATTTTGTTAATTTTCTTATTGTTGTGTAAATAAGCAAAGCTAGTCTGAGTTTGAGTATTATTTCGTACCATCAATATAGTATTACTGTATTTATTAATATTTTTAATTAGTTTTTATATTGTCTGTTTTCATATTATTATTAGTTTAATGTTTAGTAATGTTGTTGTTGTTGGTGTTGTGTGTGTGTGTGTGTGCGTGTGTGTGTGTGTGTGTGTGTGTGTGTGTGTGTGTGTGTGTGTGTGTGTGTGTGTGTGTGTGTGTCTGTGTCTGTGTATCTGTCTGTGTGTCTGTGTGTGTTTTAAAAGTTTTCGTATTTTTTTATTTTTAGCTTCTGTTCTAAACTAAACATAAATTAGAAATGTGGCCTTTAAGTAAAATAAAATAACTTTTTATCAGTTTATTTAAATATAAAAATATATAAATGTTTTTGAAAAATTGTAGTGTTAGTAAAGTTTAAGTGTCTACGTTTGAGTCTTGTTTTAGTGTAATTATGGCATTTAATAATATTTTCAATTATTTAATTTTTTCTGTTTTCACTTTAATTTCAGTAATTTTGTTGAGTTGTTTTTTTAAAATATGTCCATTTAGTTTTTTTTCAGTTTAGTTATTTTCAGCTTATTAAACTTAAATTAGAAAAGGGGCTTGGCAACTAGCTAAAATAAAATATTTTTGAATATTGTTAGATGTGCAACACTTTACAATAAGGTTCATTAGTTAACAAGAACTAAGAATGAACAATACTTCTACAGCATTTATTAATCTTGGTTAATATACAGGTGAAACTCGAAAAATTAGAATATACTGCAAAAGTTCATTTATTTCAGTAATTCAACTTAAAAGGTGAAACTAATATATTATATAGACTCATTACATGCAAAGTGAGATATTTCAAGCCTTTATTTGTTATAATTGTGATGATTATGGCTTACATGAAAACCCCAAAGTCTTGTGAAAAGGTTTTCATATCTGTAAGCCATAATCATCACAATTATAACAAATAAAGGCTTGAAATATCTCACTTTGCATGTAATGAGTCTATATAATATATTAGTTTCACCTTTTAAGTTGAATTACTGAAATAAATGAACTTTTGCACCATATTCTAATTTTTCGAGTTTCACCTGTAATTTCAACATTTACTAATACATGATCAAAATCAAAGGTTGTATTTGTTACCATTAGTTAATGCACTGTGAACTAACATGAACAAACAATGAACAGCTGTATTTTTATTAACTAACATTAACAAAGATTAATAAAAACTGTAGCACATGTATTGCTCATGGTTCATGTTATACTTGCAAAGGCATTAAGAGCGTATACGAAGTGCAAAAAACATGTATAATCTCCTGTAGAGCGGCTTTACAGACGATCTTCACACTGTCATTGAACAGCATTGAGTCAACATTAAACATAGAATTGAATTTCTCAAATTTGATGAAATTTGCATTATTGAATCTGTTTATTGCTGTGAAGCTGCTTTGTAATAAATTGTATTTTGACCATTTTTTTCTGACTTTCGTGGTTCTTCTGTATTTTGTTAAAGCATATAATAGCATTACTATAATGTGAGAATTGAACTCGCTTCATAATTGATGTAGTATTTATTTTATAAGTTATTTGCCATATCAGCATCACCGGCTATTACATGGCAGTACAACATAATTAACACAAACTTAGAAAAAATCATGACCTAATTTAACTAATGAACCTTATTGAACCTTGTGAACTAATGAACCGTATTGTAAAGTGTTAGCGTCAGATGTAAATGACTGCAGTTCTCCTGTTTGAGTGACAGCTCATGTTTGATTGTTTACTCTCCCCTCAGTCACATGATGATGTTGTGTGTCATGTTTAATGAGGTCGCCTGTCATCAAAGAAGGGGAAAAGCCCCATGGACTCGAGATCTTCACCTGGCAGATCCACCGATCATCACAGGTCACACTCGTCCTCTTTCACAGTCAACAGTTAAAGTTACACTGTAGTAAATAAATTAAAGATGCCCTCGAAGGAGAAAAAAACACGACAGGCACAAGAAACCGAAGAAGAGGGGGAGAACGATGACGGAGAGGAGAAGAAATCAAAGTCGAGAAGGAAAGGTAAGATCAGCGGTCCAGATTGTGCCACTAAGAAGAAACAGAAACACGCCGAGGACACGGTCAGCGATGCATCCGAGGTGAGGAAGAGCCAGAGAGGGCCGGAGAAGAAGAAGAAGAAGAAGAGGAAGAAGAAAAGCTCTAAATCAAAGGATGAGGAGGTGAAGAGCAGCAGTGAGGAAGATGAAGATGAACACGAGTCGAAGAACAAACACAAGAACCTTCCGGATGTCGTTCAAGTGACCGAAGTCGGGAGAAACAGAAGAAAGGAGAAGAACCCTGTCGAGAGCATCATGGGATCCAAAGATAAGAAGTCCAAAGACGAGGGGGGGAAGAAGAAGAAGAAGAAGAAAGAAGAAACGGACCCTGAAGAAGAGGAGGACGACGACGACTCCCAGAAGAAGAAGAAGAAGAAGAAGAGCAAGAAAGGAACCGGTGAGAGCGATGACGAGGGCAAGAAGGGAAAAGGCAAGAAGAAGAAATCCAAAAACGTTGATTATGTCGAGATCTATGAGAACGAACTGAGGAACTATGAGTCTGAGAAGGTGGAGAACTATGAGGACGAGTACCACAAGAAAAAAGGTAAGACAACTCAAGCATTATTAAACATCGGGTTTCTGTTCGTAGCATAGAGCAATGTACTGTTCAACTAATAAAAAAGATATGTTCTGACATTCCCATTAAGTTGAAATGTTTTAATGTTTGAAGAATTATCTAATGGAGTGTTTCCATAGCGTTCACATAACCAAGAAAACCATTTTAAACATTTGAACTGAATGGGAACACTGGAAAAAGTGTCAGCTAGGGAGATTTCAATGCTATTTTGAACACTGAACATGCTAATATTGCACTCCTTACATTGCTGTGATTCATATTCTGTAGGGATGCACGATATATCGGCCAACATATCGGTATCGGCCGATATATTCGTTTTTGATTATTATCTGCCCGATAAGAAAATGTGGCCGATATATTAAAGCCGATAAATAGTGTATTATGTCCTTCAGATGCGCACTGTTCAACATGATGCTTTTGAATTGCATGAATTATGATTGAAATCACAAATACAGTGAAGTGCAACATGTGTCATATCGGCTACATAAGATTATAATGAGAACATTATAAGTGTTTGTTTGGGACGTGGCTTTTAATGGTGAGACTTTTGTTTTTGTAATCAGGCTCTCAAAAATTAAATAAGAATTGGATTTAGATTTATCGGCCGATATATCGGTTATCGGCTTTCAAAAATAAAGATTTATCGGTATCGGTCAAAATTTGGATCTAGATTTATCGGCCAATATATCAGTTTTCAAATATAGTTATCAGTATCGGCCAAAATTTGGATTTAGATTTATCGGCCAATATATCGGTTATCGGCTTTCAAATATAAATATTTATTGGTTAATCGGCATCTACCAAAATTTGGATATCAAGCGTAGCGTCAGTTCTAGCAGGTCACGTTAGTCAAGCTCTCATCAGTGACTCTCAGCTGATCCACGTCTACTGATAGGAATACGACGCCCATCACTGTATTCATATATAAACTCCTTCAGTATTATCAGCAGCAATCGCGTTTCTCAGGAGCAATTACCCTCCTCCCTCCCCAGCTCCACCTCTCGTCAGTCAGGATTTGCCGTTCTGATTCCCCTTGAATCAGAAAAGATTCTCGAATCATGTTGTACTTTAAAATCTGGAATTAATGATATCTGCAATACATTCATGTTGGTTCTGATCTGTTTACCCTAAGGGGGGTTATTGCTCTTATTCATGCTAGGCTGCATGGATGCGCAGGGAGTTCTTGCCCAGAACAGAACCATACCACCAATCCAAACTGTATGCTAATTGTCAATCGGATTTGACGATAGTGGTCCTGACAGAATTAGATTTATCGGCCATTAAATCGGTTATCGGTTTTCAAATATAAAGATTTATCGGTTATCAGTATCGGCAAACATTTGGTTTTAGACTTATCGGCTAATATATTGGTTATCGGCTTTCAAATATAAAGATTTATCGGTTATCGATATCAGACAAAATTTGGATTTAGATTTATCGGCCAATATATCGGTTACCAGCTTTTAAATATAAAGATTTATCGGTTATCGATATCGGCCAATATTTGGATTTAGATTCATCGCCCATTATATCGGTTATCGGCTTTCAAACATAAAGATTTATCTGTATCGGCCAAAATTTGGATTTAGATTTATCTGCCAATATGTCGGTTATCAGATTTCAAATATAAAGATTTATCGGTTATCGGTATCGGCCAAAATTTGGATCTAGACTTATTGGCCAATATATCGGTTATCGGCTTTCAAATATAAAGATTTATCGGTTATCGTATCGGCAGTGCCGCTGCTAGCCATTTTGGTGCCCTAAGCATACTTCCTTGATGATGCCCCCCCCCATCCCCCCCCCCCCCCCCTATTAAAAATAAAATAAACGTTTGTTTCTGTCATTTTAACTTTTTATTGACAAATATATTACTAAATGCCAATAATAAAAAAGCAGCATCACAGTATAATACTTAAGAACATTAAAAAGAGAAAGTAAAATCTTCAAAGCTTTGCTGACTTTGCAAAAATATTATGTAGAATAGCCAACACACACTACACATTTGGAAGTGCAAACTTTTCTTCAGTATAGAACTGTATCAAAATTCCCAAATTCAATGTCACTTTGAATAAATTAAATTAAATGATCATCAATAAGTACAAACAAGAACAGTCAATCTTCTTAAATAAAACAGATTAAGAGGATGAAAAGTCTAAACTTTACTTAGTAAACATAGCCTACTATGTAGAACAGCGAAAACACACATTCAAGTAAAGTGCAAAATCTTCTTAGACCAAATGTTATCAAAATAAACCAAAGACATACATTTTGAGAGAGTCATAATGCTATTCTGTATCAAGCATTTCCACCAGTTTTGGGAGGCTCTATAGGGGCACACGTCTGCATTTCCTCGCTGCAAAATCACTAATTAGGTCATCATATGACAGCTTCTGAGCCACTTCACCATTGATGCTGATGACAGCAAGACCACTTAGACGTTCCTGCCCCATTGTTGAACGCAAGTATGTTTTAATAAGCTTTAGTTTTGAAAACCTTCGCTCAGCTGAGGCAACTGTAACAGGGAGAGTTAATGCAATTCTAAGAGCAACCCATAGATTTGGATACACCTCTTGAAGGCATTTCTCATGGAGAAATGTGAGCAACTCCAAGGCAGTTGTCTGTGGTGACAATTGAGGAAGGTTGATGATTTCCTGAACCATCTCAAGTCCATCAATATCAGAATTTCCTTTCTCAGTCAGTGTCTTCTGCACTTCCATGCATTTTTTTTGTAAGTCCTCCTTGGACATTCCGTTGCTGAACTCAAGCAGCACTCCAAATTTGTCTCTGACCTGGGTCATGGTCTCAAAACGCTCCTGCAGTGACATCAAAGCTGAGTCCACGACACTATTGAAAAATGTTACCTCAAGCCTTTTGAGGGCATCACTGAAGGGCTCGTCAGCAGTCTCATATGCAAACTGCCTTTTTGTGTTCCTGAGCCTTTTCTCCTTGAGCTCTGGCTCTATGTTCAAGGCCTCGCAAAGGTCCTTGGCAGTTGACACTGCTTCAGCAAACCCAGAGTGCCTGAGCCTCTATTTTTGCGACTGAGTCATTGACAGTTTCCCTAGCCTCGATGAGCGCATTTCTGATTTCTTTAATTTGGCTTCTGGCAGCAGTGACACTCTTAAGCCTGCTCTCCCACCTCACATCACTCCATGATTTTACAGTCAGGTTGACGTGTTTTTTCAAGATGCTCCATCGCTGTGTAGCTCCTGAGAAGAAACAAAATAGCTTCTGCAAATAGCCAAAAAACCCAGTGGCCTCCCTGGACGACTTGGCAGCATCAGCTATGACAAGATTAATCGAATGAGCTGCGCAAGGAACAAACAATGCCCTCGAATTAAATTGTAGCAGTCGGGCCTGAACTCCTTGCTTTTTCCCCTTCATGTTTGCTCCATTGTCATAGGCCTGTCCACGGCAATTATCAAAAGGAATGTCGAGTTCCTTCAACTTGTCTAGAAGGACAGTAGACAGGTTCAGGCCAGTTGTTTCAACCACCTCCAAATACCCAAGGAAATACTCCTTGATATTTGGCTTTGGCACCAAATCAACAATGCGCACGATGAGGGACATTTGTTCCTTGTGGCTTATATCAGGTGTACAGTCAAGAATAATGGAGAAATATTTCGCTTCCTGAATCTTTGTCTGGATTGTTTGTAATGTTTTGGTGGAGATGATCTGGATCAGTTCATTTTGTGTCTGCTGTCCAAGATAATGCGTTCGGGAGCTTTCATCGGTTATCTTGGCCAGGTGGTTCTCCATCACGGGATCAAAATTGCCTAAAAGCTCCACTTCCTTTAAGAAGTTGCCATTGTCTGGCTCATAAAGACACTGTGAAGAGCCTCTAAATGACAAATTCCTTGAGGCAAGAGATAGGGTTATTGCAAGTAAGCGTTTGAGAACATCTCGCCACCTTCTTTTTTCTGCCTCCAGCAATGTCAGTTCCTGGTGGTCTATTGTCATATTTGTCTGTAAACGCATGTCCAGTTCTCTCCATTTAAACATGCACTGGGCATGGTCTGGGCTACATTCATGACTCCTCAAACTACTGTTTATGTTGGACCAGTCACTGTGGCCCTCTGCAGTCAGCTTTATAGTTTTCAAACTGAAAAGCTTACACGCAAAACAGAACACAGCATTGTTCTGTTGCGAATAAACAAGCCAACTTCTCACGATTTTCTCTCCATTTGAGAGCGTTTTGAATTGTAGGCTACTATGAAACGCCCTGCCATCTAGTCCCCTTGGAAAAATAAAGTCTGATGGGACTTTAAATGGGCCTCTTCGTACTATTTCAACACGATTCGCGTCTAAAACCTGTGACGGCCAAAGAGCAGGATCAGTTGGAGGGGGCACACAGGTCTCTACATTGTCACCTGCTGATGGACTCTCAATGACAGGACTTGTGCTTACAGAGGTGGTAGTTCTCTGCTGTGTATCTGTCCCTAAACTGCTGGTTGAGGGTGGTTGATGAGGGCTTGGTACTATTGTGGAGTCTACAGACCTGCTGGCCGGCTGGGGTTGATGTGTGCCTGAACCGCTTGTAGATGGTTGCTCGTTGTCTGTATCTTCCTCTTGGTCATGTGCTCCTTGTACGTATCTCAGCATTGCCCCTGCATTAATTTAGAAATACGAAGAAAAAGTATCAGTATAGAAAGAGACAAAATATTCGGTAACACTTTACTTGAAGGGGTGTGCATAAGACTGACATGACACCTTCATAATCATGACATGACACATGTTATGAATATGAAGGAAGTTTTATGCATGTTTGTGACAACTGTCATTAAGTGTCATTTGCTCAATTATGACATTTTTAATGCAAATATGACATTGTTTGAGATGTCTTTGTTATGACAACTTGACATTACTAAGACAACACAACCTGTCATAAACATGACATAGCAGATTAATTATCAAACTTAAGAAACCACTTAGCTTTATGGGTTAACATTACATTAAACTGTCAGGTGGTTGGTGTTAACATTTGCTGTCATGAAGCCATTATAACTGTTTAATGACAAATTCAATTTGTACCACTGTAGTTGAGGTCACGAAAAATATTCATGACACAGTTATAATGGCCTCATGACAGCCAGTGTCAAAACCAACCACATGACAGTTTAATTTAATTTAATGTCAAGTTGTCATGACAAAGACACTGACAGGTTATGATGTTATGGTTTATGTCAAGATGTCATAACAAAGACATCTTAAACAATGTCATATTTGCATTCAAAATGTCATTATTGAGCGAAAGACACTTAATGACAGTTGTCATAAACATGCATAAACCCTACTTCATATTCATGACATATGTCATGTCATGGTTATGAAGGTGTCATGTCAGTCTTATGTACACCCCTTCAAGTAAAGTGTTACCAAATATTCAAACAAAGAATCTTATAGCGGAAAAATTATACATATTTAAAACTGAAAGCATGCAGCCAAGGAGCTCTCACAGTTTATTTCTTATTTATCAACTATTTGATACATCTAATCTAATATAAAAGCATAATAGAATGAGTTGCAATATTGCACACAATTCAACAATAATGTTTGCTTTATATCATTCATAATGACATTTTATATTCATATCTTACCTACAGGAATAAAAGCAAAATGGTACTGAAGCAAGAGGAATTGAATTGTTAGCCTACCTTGTGCACTGCACTGACTGCTGCTAACTGTTAGCAGCAATAATAATAATAATAGGCTAATACTTTTAATAATAAACCAGGATAGTTTCAGTCCTTGATTCTGATTGTTTGAGCTGCGTTCAAGGCCATTGTAAATTACTCAACAAACACACACACACACCTGTGAGCGCATTACATTATTATTACTGTGCAACTGCTGTTTGTGTGTGATTCTTTGTTTCTGCATTGCATGTGTTGCTCAGCAACCATTTTGAAACTACATTCCTTGGCGGAGGAATACATGTATAACGTTATATTTTTTTTGTTTTGTTGCTGGTGTTTATTTTATGAATAAAATAAATATTCAAATATATTTATGGTGTAATCGTTAAATAAAAGCAATAACCCCATTTACAGTGTAGCTAAAACACGGCTTCGCAGGGTTATTGCTTAACCACCGGCACCGTCACGTCAAAATAAACCAAACTACTGCTCAATAGTAAAATCTCAATTTAGCTTGCACCTAAGTTATAACAACATTCAACATATTTGAATTTGCTAACATTGACGTCAGCTAATTCGAGCAACGGTAACGTTAGGCATTAAATTAGCAGCACATTTCCCGTATAATGATTAAACATGGACTTACCTGCAAGTGATGTACGGGCATCATCTCGCAGTTTCTTCTTCTTTCTCTTCTCTGATCCTGATTCCTGCTGTCTTTTCGGGGCCATTTCCCAAAAAGTTGACAGCCTACTGTCAAACTTCACCAGGCGCCGCGCAATCCAACGGTCCACTGAGCTTGGGAAGTTGAGTGTGTTTGGGGGGAGGGGCGGCGGCGCGCCGGCGGTATCATCGTTCTAGACGTTTTTTTTTTTTTTTTTTTACATCCCTAAAAGGTGCCTAATAATATATTTCTATACTAAAAATAATATCGTCGGCATTGTAATTATTATTATGACTATAATATGATTATTGATTTTTCATTAGGCTATTTTTGGTGCCCCCTCAGCACATGGTGCCCTACGCACAGCGCGTGATGCGCGTGGTGGGAGCGGCGGCACTGCGTATCGGCCAAAATTTGGATTTAGATTTATCTGCCAATATATCGGTTATCACTGCAGATTTCAAATATAAAGATTTATCGGTTATCGATATCGGCCAAAATTTGGATTTAGATTTATCGGCCAATATATCGGTTACCAGCTTTCAAATATAAAGATTTATCGGTTATCGTATCGGCCAAAATTTGGACCTAGACTTATCGGCGAATATACCGGTTATCGGCTTTCAAATATAAAGATTTATCGGTTATCGATATCGGACAAAATTTGGATTTAGATTTATAGGCCAATTTATCGGTTATCGGCTTTCAAATATAAAGATTTATCAGTTATCCGTATCGGCCAAAATTTGGATTTAGATTTATCGGCCATTATATCGGTTATCAGCTTTCAAATATAAAGATTTATCGGTTATCGTATCGGCCAAAATTTGGACCTAGACTTATCTGCGAATATACCGGTTATCGGCTTTCAAATATAAAGATTTATCGGTTATCGATATCGGACAAAATTTGGATTTAGATTTATAGGCCAATTTATCGGCTATCAGATTTCAAATATAAAGATTTATCAGTTATCGGTATCGGCCAAAATTTGGATTTAGATTTATCGGCCATTATATCGGTTATCGGCTTTCAAACATAAAGATTTATCTGTATCGGCCAAAATCTTCATATTGGTGCATCCCTAGTTTTAATATAGGTTATCGTGGCTTGTTTGTATCACGGCTTGATTTGACCGTAGTCATTGTTCATCAGGGTGTTTCACACAGTTATTCACTCGAGTGTGAATATCCTCCTCATTAATTATGCACTGGATCTCTTACTCATTCTTTCTGTGCTCAATCGAATGACAGTGTATGAGGTGGTGACCATCACTGGAGACGTTAATGGCGCAGGTACAGACGCCAATGTGTTTGTCACGCTGTTCGGGGAATATGGCATCACTCCCAAACTGCACCTGGCCAGCAAGTGAGTCAACACTACTGACCTGAAACTTGATTCATAATCATCTCTGTTAATAATAAATGAAATGCCTGGTAGCCGCAGCCTCGTTGTTTGCTGTTGTATTTAAAAGTTATTTTTTCTGATGAAATGTAACACCATCACTCTGTCTTTCCCTGAATCCACAGCACAGAGAAGAGGTATTTGAGTCGCTGCTGTTGTGACCTTTACTCTGAACTTGTGCACATGATATTCTAGAACCTTTCATCAAGGACCAATATTTCCGATTCGACAGCAGAAAAGGCTTTTCAGGAGGTTTATTGCTCCTCATAATGAAGGGCTACAATATGCATGTGCTGTACATCACCACTATGATGGACTCGTGTGGATCAGATTGTGGAAATGTATAGCATTGTGCTGTAGAGACCAAACACCACAGCACTTTACTATTCTGTTTCCAGACACACATCATTCAAACTGATAATCTAGCTTGACTCACACTGCAAATATGATGTTCTTACTCTGTATTTTTGCCTTGTTTTACAGTGCAAATATCTAAACATTCCTCAAAGCAACATACACATTTACTTGAGAAGCAATAAGTCTTGTTTTCTGAACAATGTATCAAAATTTGGTGCTTATTTTTGACCAAAACATTTTTATTTTTTTAGAATTTTTTACTTCATCAGAATGGCACAAGACTTGGTAGAGGTTTTGGCACTTGCTGTGTGAATGCATAAAATAATCATGGACATGATTTGAAAAGATTTAATGGTCCTGAAAGCAACAGTCACACACACTTGTGCTGCTCGCGGTCAAAAATGACGCATTGGCAATGAATGAGAGTTTCCTCTAGTGGAAGCGTGTGGAACTGCAGCCGAACACACTCTCACTGAACGCTCATTTACTGAGAGATCAGACTCACATGCGGGACAACTTAATGGCTTTGGTTTTCTTACAGTTTTAGAGTAAAACTTGTTTTAAAAAATACATATATATATATATATATATATATATATATATATATATTTCCAAAGCATTCAATATGACAGTTTAAGTTGGAATTTTCGTTTTCAGTTCTATGCTCAAAAAGTGAATTAATGGATTATAACTACTGCATAAATATAATCTATAAAATCCCCTAAAATACAAAATATTAAATAAAAAACATTTTCGGAATAAAAAATAGTACATTAATTTAATTGAAATAATAGTAAAAATTGGCCATTTTTGACCGCCACACGAAGAGCAACAGAGGTTTAAAAAGAACAAATATCTGCCAATGGGGTCAGAAATATAATCTTGTTTTCTGTTTGAATTAAGATAATTTTTCTGACTCCATTGACAGATAATTGTTCTTGTTTTAAGCACAAACTCACTTCATTTTGATACATTTTTTAGTCTTAATATCTTCAGTAATTTTGCTTCTCCAGTAAATGTATCTAGATTTAAGAATGTTTAGATATTATACAAAAATACTAAGCACGACAAACATTTTTTGCAGTTTATGTCACATGAAATACATAATAAGCCAAAGCTCGTTTACTGAATATGTGTGTTTACAATATGTCCCATCAGCAAATACATGATATATTGGGTGCTAGATATCATATATTTTCTGAAATGTATCGTGACTCTGTACGTTTACCAAGGACATTTAATATATGAAGTATTTGTGACTTTCAAACACTGTTTTTACACTGTGTGCATTTATTCAGTGCACAACTACTTGATGCTTATGATGGATAAGATTGTTCTTCTTCTGTAATTTAGATTTACACCATAAAACATCATTAGTGTATTATTATGGTTTCATATTAACACCTCATTGACATTCATATTATTACATTCATATTGACCTGAATATTGTGATGGTTTAAAGGGATTAAAGGGATGCAGGGTTTGATTTTGTCTTTAACTTCAAGAAATGAAATGTTTGGTTATTGTTTGCATTGATATTTATTACAGGAATCGAACTGCTTTTGAAAAAAACAAAACTGACGTCTTTCGGATAAAAACACACAATGTCGGCCCTTTGAAGAAAATTAGGTAAGTTGATAAGTTTTACTGTAATTTGAGGTCAGCAATAACTGAATTTATTATTGAAGATAAATATTAATCCAATAAATTTAATAATAAAAATTAAATGCATGCATTTTTTAACAAAATTCCTGTTTTGTACGCTACTAGTCAAAAGTTTGGAATTTATTTCGATATATCGGCCACCATATCGGTATCGGCCGATATATGTTCATCTTAATGTTATCGTTATCGGCCCGATAAGAATATTTGGCCGATATATTAAAGCTGATAAATAGTGTATTATGTCCTTCAGCTGAGACTCTTCAGATGCGCACTGTTCAACATGATGCTTTTGAATTGGTTGGAATATGATTGAAATCACTTCAAAAAAGTAAAATACAGTTCAGAGCAACACAAGTCGGTCATATCGGCTACATAAAATAATAATGAGAACATTATAATTGTGTGCTTATGGCTTTTAATGGTGAGACTTTTGTTTTTGTAAGCAGGCTCTCAAAAATGTTTTAAAAAAATTGGATTTAGATTTATCGGCCGATATATCGGTTATCGGCTTTCAAATATAAAGAATTATCGGTTATCGGTATCAGCCAAAATTTTCATATCGGTGCATCCCTACTTAATGTCTTCAGTCATTTTGCTTCTTCTCCAGTAAATGTATCTTGATTTATTTGTACTGGAAAAAGTAAGAACATAAAGAAGAAGTATGTGGTGTTGATTGTCAGTCCGTTCTGTGCTGTTGTTCAGGATTGAACATGATAACACGGGCCTGAACGCCAGCTGGTATCTGGACCGGGTCGTGGTCACAGACATGAACCGGCCACATCTACGCTTCTACTTCGCCTGTAACAACTGGCTGAGCCGAGCCGAGGGCGACGGGCTGTTCGTGCGGGACCTTCTGGGCAGCCCCGACCCCATGGACATGCCCAAATGTGAGACGAGACCTCTTATAGCACACATTAGGTTGTCTTTCTTAACTCAAAGCTTTACAAAACCGACAAAACAGACTGAAACACAGGGCTTAAACACACAGAGAACAGATCAGGGAAACGAGACACCGCTGGGACAAATGAACTCATAATGACAGTAATTAACAAGACAACAGGTGACAGGGATTAAATCAATGAAACACATACATGAACACAAACACTAAACGTGACACTTTTATCACAATTAAGAGTGATAAAACGCAGTGAAATTAACTCTACACTGCAAAAAATGCTTTTCTTACATAGTATTTTTGTCTTGTTTCCGGTCCAAATATCTAAAAAAATTCTTAAATTAAGATGCATTTACTAAAGTAGTAAAATGCCATAAGATATTATGTCTTGTTTTTTGGGGAAATCAATCAAAATTAAGAGAGTTTCTGCTTTAAAAAAAAGCAAACAACAGAATTTGTAGGTATTTGGACTGGAAACAAGACAAAAATATTAAGTAAGAAAAGCATATTTTGCAGTGTTTATTGTTTCCTCTGATTCCTTGAGTCAAATCAATACAGTGAGTTTCATAAAGTGTCTTTATTGTGCTTTTTTGCAGATAATAAATATGTTGTGAGTGTGTTCACGTCTGACGTGAAAGGCAGTGGGACGGATGCTGATGTTTTCCTCAATATTTTTGGTGAAAATGGAGATACAGGTAAGAGGTAACTGGTTAAACAGACGCGTTTCTATGTCATTAAAAGTGATTCTCAACAGGCGTAAACAATGTAAATAAAGAAATACAAAAGAAAAAAAAAAAAATTATAGGCTACATTACTAGTTAAAAGTTGGGAATAATTATGTTTCTGAAAGAGCCTCTTCTGCTCACCAAAGCTGCATTTATTTGATCAAAAATACAGTAAAAACAGGGATATATTATTATAATGTAAATCATCTGTTCTCTATGTGAATATACAGTAAAGTGTAATTTATTCCTGTGATTTTCAGCATCATTACTCCAGTCTTCAGTGTCACATGATCCTTCAGAAATCACTCTAATATGAGGATCTGATGCTCAAGAAACATTTATGATTCTTATCAGTGTTCATATTTTGTGGAAACATTTAATTTTTTCAAGATTCTTTGACAAATAGAAAGTAAAAAAAACAGCATTTATTTGAAATAGAATCTTTTGGAACATTATAAATGTCTGTACTGTCACTTTTGATCAATTTAATGCGTCCTTGCTGAATAAAAGTACTCTTTTTTTAATTCTTTTTTTTATATCTATACCTTTCTTTTGAATTGTTGTCTCATGGTTTCCACAATAAGCGTATCCTAGAACCTGAAACTTTATCTATGATGTAATATCCTGTTGCATTATTATCAGATGTTTATATTTCCCGAAGGTGAGAGAAGACTCGACAATGATAAAAACAACTTTGAGAGAGGAACAGAAGACAAGTTTACCATCGAGGCTCCGAATCTGGGCCGAGTGAGGAAGATCACCATCGGACACAACAACAAGGGCTCCTCGGCGGGATGGTTCGTGGAGAAGGTCAAATCCCAGTAAAAACATTTAGAATATAATACGGCCGTTTGCTGTAATAAACACATATGCCTGAGAACTGACACGCATAGCATGATTTGATTCCAATTTTGATTCACAGACACACATTCACAGAATCCGATCCGACTCAATATCGATTCATTTGAATATAATACAGTAGTATCGTATATCTCTCAAGGAAAAATTCTCAACTAATAAGTAATGTTTAAAATTAACAACTGATTACATTTCAATTGCATATACGACAGTGTATTAATGACAATTGTTTTTGAAAAATATAACGGCGGCTGTCATAAAACCTGTTTTCATGATTTAGTCAAACACCTTAAAAGAACAGGTTGAGTCAAATAAATGAATATGTAATATAGTGCTGTGCATATATGAATCCAACATAAGAGAGTTATTTTTCTAGCTGATATGGAGTTTATGGACACTGATGTGATTTCTGAGGTGAATGTGACGTTTGAAGCGGTTTTATTGACGCTGATTGATGGATTATAGGAGACATGATTGATTTCAGGAAGTTGTTCTGCATCTTTTATCATTCCTTCTGATGTTCATTTTCATGTTTATTTGCTGCTGTAACTAGTAGTGAAGAGGAAAAGATGATCGGTTCATCTGTCGCACACATTAAAGAGACACAAACACATCAGAACTGCATTTAAACTCGCAATTCTGACTTTATATCTCGCAATTCTGACTTTATATCTCGCAATTCTGACTTTATATCTCGCAATTCTGACTTTATCTCGCAATTCTTACTTTATATCTCGCAATTCTGACTTTATATCACAATTCTGACTTTATAACTAGCAATTCTGACTTTATCTCGCAATTCTGACTTTGTATCTCGCAATTCTGACTTTATATCGCAAATCTGACTTTATCTCACAATTCTGACTTTATATCTCGCAATTCTGACTTTATCTCGCCATTCTTACTTTATATCACGCAATTCTGACTTTATATCACAATTCTGACTTTATAACTAGCAATTCTGACTTTATCTCGCAATTCTGACTTTATATCTCACAATTCTGACTTTATAACTAGCAATTCTGACTTTATCTCGCAATTCTGACTTTATATCTCGCAATTCTGACTTTATATCTCGCAATTCTGACTTTATATCGCAATTCTGACTTTATATCTCGCAATTCTGACTTTATATCGCAAATCTGACTTTATCTCGCAATTCTGACTTTATATCTCGCAATTCTGACTTTATATTGCAAAATTGACTATCTCGCAATTCTGACTTTATATCGCAATTCTGACTTTATAACTCGCAATTCTGACTTTATATCGCAATTCTGACTTTATATCGCAATTCTGACTTTATATCTCGCAATTCTGACTTTATCTCGCAATTCTGACTTTATATCTCGCAATTCTGACTTTATATCGCAATTCTGACTTTATATCTCGCAATTCTGACTTTATATCGCAATTCTGACTTTATAACTCGCAATTCTGACTTTATAACTCGCAATTCTGACTTTATATCTCGCAATTCTGACTTTATATCTCGCAATTCTGACTTTATCTCTCAAATCTGACTTTATATCTCGCAATTCTGACTTTATATCCCGCAATTCTGACTTTATATCTCGCAATTCTGACTTTATATCTCGCAATTCTGACTTTATATCTCGCAATTCTGACTTTATATCTCGCAATTCTGACTTTATCTCTCAAATCTGACTTTATATCTCGCAATTCTGACTTTATATCTTGCAATTCTGACTTTATATCTCGCAATTCTGACTTTATATCACGCAATTCTGACTTTATATCTCTAAGCTGAGACTCTGTTTCATATCAAGGCGCTACAGATAATGTTTAGTGAAGCTTTTTCCTACTGAAAACAGCACCGACTAAAAGATCGATCTTGTGATTATATTCGAGACATCGGTGTTGTCACACAAAGGCATTCGGGTTGGTAGTGGACGATTTGCATTCGCTCCACCTCACACGGCATCTCTCCGGATGAGGTAATTCTAGTCACCTTATCCACGCTGAAAGGAAACACCACACTACTCTACTGGATTGGCTTTCCTTCTGATGAGAGCCACAGCCTGCAGATAGATGGATAGATATGCACATAGACACCATATATCACTGCAATGAAACCCGCACTGCTGATGGCGCTCGCTTTTATTTCAGGTCATACTGGATGATTTGGGAAACAAAGCCTTGTACGAGTTTCCCATCAACCGCTGGTTTGCCATCGATGAAGATGATGGAAAGATACAGAGAGATGTTCTGGTTGGAGGGAGTCAACCCACCGGTAAACCATACAGCATCTTCAAGTTTTACAAAATCTCCTCATAAAACCTCCGAAAACCAACATACTGATGATGTAGTGAGTGTAATGTTTGAACACACATGACTGAATCGCTTTCTCTGAGGACTTCAATGCTTTAGTAAATTGCATCTGTACAGGTGAAACTCGAAAATAATGGTGCAAAAGTTCATTTATTTCAGTAATTCAACTTAAAAGGTGAAACTAATATATTATATAGACTCATTGCATGCAAAGTGAGATATTTCAAGCCTTTATGTGTTATAATTTTGATGATTATGGCTTACAGATATGAAAACCCCAAATTCAAAATTAGAATATTGTGAAAAGGTTTTCATATCTGTAAGCCATAATCATCAAAATTATAACAAATAAAGGCTTGTAAATTGCATCTATGTACACTACCAGTCAAAAGTTTGGCTTTTTATGTCTTTGAAAGAAGTGAAAAATACTGGAAAACAGTGAAATATTATTCTAATGTAAATCAGCTGTTTTCTATGTGAATATATAGTAAAGTGTAATTTATTCCTGTGATTTTCAGCATCATTACTCCAGTGTCACATGATCCTTCAGAAATCACTCTAATATGATGATCTGATGATCAAGAAACATTTATGATTATTAGCAGTGTTCATATTTATCAGGAAATTATGATACACTGCTATTCAGAAGTTTAGGATAAGTAAGATTTTAAATAAAAAGAAAAAAATAATACTTTTATTTAGTAAGAATGCATTCAATTGATCAAAAGTGACAATAAAGACATTTAAAATGTTACAAGGATTCCTACATCAAACAAATGCTGTTCTTTTGAACTTTCTATTCATCAAAGAATCCTGAAAAATAAAATGCATCACAAAAATATGAACACTGCTAATAATCATAAATGTTTCTTGAGCATCAGATCCTCATATTAGAGTGATGTCTGAAGGATCATGTGACACTGAAGACTGGAGTAATGATGCTGAAAATCACAGGAATAAATTACACTTTACTATATATTCACATAGAAAACAGTTACTTTAAATTGTAATGATATTTCATAATTTTACAGTATTTTTGATTAAATAAATGCAGCCTCGGTGAGCAGAAGAGACTGATGATGAGCAGGACCGTTGACTGGCTGTACGATTAAGCTCTTATGTTCAGACTCTCAGACTGGACTGTGTTTTTGCAGGAATCGTGTACAACGTTCAGGTGGTGACGGGGAAAGTCCGAGGTGCAGGAACCAACTCTAAAATCCACATGATCATGCACGGCTCCAAAGCCCTGAAGAACAGCGGGAAGGTTTTCCTGGAGGGAGGAACGTTTGAGCGCGGGCTCACCGACATCTTTAACGTGGAGATCGCAGCGCTGCTCAGTCCTCTCAGTCGGGTCACCATCGGTCATGATAACGGAGGGGTCAGTCCCGGCTGGTACTGCGAAAAGGTCACGTTTCACCCGATAACCTTTGTGTTTCTCAGCTATAACTGCTGATTATGATAGAAAAATCATGTTTAAAATAATGCAAGTACATGCAACAAAGCAATGCACAAACACCCACTGGTGTTAAGCTTCATCTTTCCCTCGTGGGTCAAAATGATCCAAAGGCCTAAAATGATACTCAAATTTTTTATATATATAACATTTTTCCTATTTTTTTTATAAAACATTTTTTTAATTAAAAAAAATAATTAACCTTTAAATTACTAGAATATATTAATAAGTAATAAATAAATAGTAATTTAAAGGGTTAGTTCACCCAAAAATTAAAATGATGTCATTAATGACTCTCCCTCATGTCGTTTATGGACACTGATGTGTGTTCTGATGTGCACAACAGAACCGGAACACAATACAATGCTGAATAAAGTCCTAGTTTGTGTTATTTTTAGGGCTGTCAAATGATTAATCACGATTAATCACATCCAAAATAAAAGTTTTTTTTACATAATATATGTGGGTGCACTGTGTATAATTATTTTGTATATATATAAATACACACACATGCATGTATATTTAAGAAAAAAATATAATTTATATATAAAATATTTATATTTATATATAATATAAATTATATATAAATCTATATACAGTATATACATGAAAATATTTCTTAAATATATACAAGCATGTGTGTGTATTTATATATATAAAATAATTATACACAATGCACCCACATATATTATGTAAAAAAAACTTTTATTTTGGATGTGATTAATCACGATTAATCATTTGACAGCCCTAGTTATTTTTGGACCAAAATGTATTTTCGATGCTTCAACACACTCTAACTAACCCACTGATGTCACATGGACTACTTTGATGATGTCTTTATTTCCTTTCTGGACAAGGACAGTATACCGTACATTTACAATGGAGGGACAGAAAGCTCTCGGACTAAATCTAAAATATCTTAAACTGTGTTCTGAAGATGAACGGAGGTCTGACGGGCTTGGAGCGACACGAGGGAGAGTCATTAATGACATCATTTTTGGGTGAACTAACCCTTTAAGCACATTCCTCACATTCTTTCAACTTAAATTCAAAATAACGTCTCGGTTACGCATGTAACCCTCGTTCCCTGAAGGAGGGAGCGGAGACGTTACGTCAGTGACTGACGAAATGGGAGTTTTGCTAGAGAGCCTTATCACCTTCGAGTTATTAGAACACCAGCCAATGGGATGAAAGGGACGATTCACCTTTCATATTTCACTTCCAAAACATTCAAACTGTTTAAAAATACATTCTTTTTTAAAAATGGCATTATTTTACTTCCATAGATGCACAATAACCTGAAAAGAATCTTAAAACAACTCAATACATTTTTTGTACACTTTACTTGCATCTTGTTTGTTTCAAGAAGGGCATTTTTTTGCAGTGTAACAACGAATCATATTTGACCTTTTTTAATTAAGATTCTTGAAATTTGAATTTTTTTGAGGGGTGGTATTATTAATAAAATTAGCACAACAATCTAATTGAACATAAACTTGCACTTTATGCCACTCTGGTAAAATCAACCTCAAAATTAGCAAAAATTCTCTTGCCAAGACTGAAGACGACCAATTTTCTTAAATTAAGATTTATAGTCTAGTGCGCAATGTATTTTAGACTTTGACAAAAAACAAGATTTTGTAGAATTTTTTTATATTATAGGACAAAAACTGAAAATTATCAACAAAATGTATAAAATGCTTAATTCGCCTGTGTTTGTTGTGTTAGGTGGTTGTGTTCTGTCCGTTCACTGGCATCGAGCAGACGTTCCCCTGCTCTAAATGGCTGGATGAGAACGAGAGCGATGGACTCATCGAGAGAGAACTCTACGAAATGGTCTCGCTCAGGCAAAAGAGGCAGAAAAGTGCGTATTGGTCTTACAGCGAGAGTGAAAGAGGTTCTAGGTGTGTGAGGTTAAAGGGTTAAATCTCCTGCCCCTCAGAACTATGGAGGGATTATTGGGTCAGATTGAAAACTAAAAGTCTAAAACTAAAAGTCTTAAAGGAAAACCAAAAGTCTAAGTTTGAAACTAAAAGTCTAAGTCGAAAACTAAAAGTCTAAGTCGAAAATGAATTTGGTATTTAGGATTGGGCATTTGGTATTTAGGATTGGGCATTTGGTATTTAGGATTGGGCATTTGGTAATTTAGCCATTTAGGATTTAGGATTGGGCATTTAGGGATTTAGGATTGGGCATTTCATCATTTAGCCATTTAGGATTGGGCATTTGAGGATTGAGGATTGAGGAGTGTATGCAAATAAGGAGGCGTGGCCCAAATACTGGAGGCTGGGTTTGAAATGACTGGTGCAGATGCACCTAATGGACAGCAGAGGGCGCTCCAGTGCTAAGGAGCACACTGTAATGAAACCAAACAGAGCGAGTGAGCAGGTCTGGAGCGAGGACTGTACTTTATAATGTGATAACTTCAACTTAATCACATTGTTGTATAGGGGTACTGGAACGGTACATGTATTCCTATTGAACCGAAACGGTAGCCTACGGGCGTCACGGTTCGGTGCACGAATTTACACGGAGAATACACGGTATAAAAATAAATAAAACTCTAAATAGCGATACATTTCGCTCTACTCGCGTTTGGTGTGAACGCAGCATAATAAACAGGCTGCGATATCAAGATTGCAATGCTGGAGTGTGTGTGTGCGCACGAGAGAGAGAGGGGGAGGCGTGGGCGCGAACGAACTTGGTGTGTGTGTGTGTGTGTGTGTGTGTGTGAGAGAGAGAGAGAGAGAGAGAGAGAGAGAGTGTGTGTGTGTGTGTGTGTGTGTGTGTGTGTGATTTTGGTTGGGTGATAGTTGTAGGTTACAGTTTGACAAGATTTTAGAGTGTGACAAAAGCACAATGTTGTATTTTATTGCGAGTGTACACAAATATACACACTTACAATTTGAACTTTGCGCACACACTCCAACATTGCAACCTTGACGTCGCAGCCTGTTTATTATGCTGCGTTCACACCAAACGCGAATAGAGCGAAATGTATCGCTATTTAGAGTTTTATTTATTTTTATACCGTGTATTCTCCGTGTAAATTCGTGCACCGAACCGTGACGCCCGTAGGCTACCGGTTCGGTTCAATAGGAATACATGTACCGTTCCAGTACCCCTATACAACGCTGTCATTAAGTTGAAGTTATCACATTATAAAGTACAGTCCTCGCTCCAGACCTGCTCACTCGCTCTGTTTGGTTTCATTACAGTGTGCTCCTTAGCACTGGAGCGCCCTCTGCTGTCCATTAGGTGCATCTGCACCAGCCATTTCAAACCCAGCCTCCAGTATTTGGGCCACGCCTCCTTATTTGCATACACTACTCAATCCTCAATCCTCAAATGCCCAATCCTAAATGGCTAAATGATTAAATGCCCAATCCTAAATCCCTAAATGCCCAATCCTAAATTCTAAATGGCTAAATGACCAAATGCCCAATCCTAAATACCAAATGCCCAATCCTAAATACCAAATGCCCAATCCTTAATACCAAATGCCCAATCCTAAATACCAAATGCCCAATCCTTAATACCAAATGCCCAATCCTAAATACCAAATTCCTTTTTGACTTAGACTTTTAGTTTTCGACTTAGACTTTTAGTTTCAAACTTAGACTTTTGGTTTTCGTTTAAGACTTTTAGTTTTAGACTTTTAGTTTTCAATCTGACCCAATAATCCCTCCATACAGAACATCCCTGGTCCCTGTGGATTTGGACGTCAGATCTTGCAGGCGCAGGAACAGACGCCTCCATCTTACTCCAGATATTCGGGGAGAAGGGCAAGTCCGATGAGATGAAACTCGACAACAAAACTGATAACTTTGAGCAGGGCCAGCTGGACAAGTTCATGGTAAATCCGCTGTCTTGCAGTAAAAATAGGTGTTTTTGGTGTGTTGGGGGACTAAAGGACAAACTATATATTAGGGGTGTAACGGTACATGTACAGTATTCGTCTCGAACCGTCACGGTACGGATGTTACGGTTCTGCACACAGTCAGACACTGAATACAGTCAGTCACAAGCCATGTTTCCATCCACTTGTCAATCGAATTATCTGAAGTTCGGTAAAAAACCTCATGCGAATAAAGCTGGTGAAAGTGTGTTTCCATCAAATGGCTTTAAAGCGGATAAAAACCTGTGCGTAATGACGTCACATGCTGTTTTGCGATCAAATTGGTATATCGAATTGATTTGAGACATGTTAAGGTGTTTCCATTCATTTTCTCACCGAATTCCACAACATTCAAGCCAACATTTGCGAACAAAGTTTTACTAGGCAAAATGGATCGCACAATAATAACGCTTCCAACCGATCGTATTTCATTTGAGTCGATATTAAATTAGTCGATATAAAATTCAATCGAATTTTACTGTTTCCATAAGGCATTTTTCATTCGATATCACTTAATGCGGATAAAAACGTGTGGACGGAAACCTACAGATGATTAGGGCTGTCAAATACAAATTAGAATTTCGATTATTCGTCAAAAAAAAAAAAAAAAAAAAAACTCTGCAAATTCGAATGCAAAAACCGTGCATTTGAATTTTTGGTGTGTCACACTTGACCAAACCTGCATTGGTCAGAGCTGAGTGTGTGTGTGTGTGTGTGAGTGTGTTTCATCAACTGCGCTCAGCACTCGCTCAGATCTGGTGTTTTTGACGAACAATATGTCGATATTGTAGTGAGTGGAAGTGTTTCTGAATGCTAGTTTGCTATTTAGTGTTCAGTGTTTAGTGTTGAACGTGTGTTTTCTCAGGTTACTGATGCACGAACACAGTTTTATGCACTATTGTAACCTAATTTTCCTTGCATGCACATTAAGGAAATTATATTTCATTTAAGAACAATTGTTTCAAAAGTTAATGCACTTTAAAAAGTGAATGTCATTTAATTTCAATAAAAGATGCGATGCTTGATTTGGGTTATATTTGCTAATTGCGTTCGCTTGCGCCCTCTTGTGGACACAGGAGACAATACAGTGCTCTCTTCCTCTAACATTAATATTGCCTTTAGAATTCGAATATAATTTTCGAATTTTGCTAATATTTAAGAAAGAAATTCGAATTTAGCTTTTCAGCCATTTTGACAGCTCTACAGGCGATCCGCACTCCAATCCAGAAAGAGGTTCGCGTGGAAATGCAATGCTGTTTGCTAACCTCCATAACAGAAATAGAGCAGGGGAAGAGATCTACACTGCAACACAAAAGTTCTAATGCACGCAAGAGCTTATACGCTGAGAGCGCACACAAATAAAAATAGACTCTTTAATCTATTAAATATGCATATTTGCACTACTTTAGTTTGCATACATTTCCAGAAACAGAAATCTTAACATTGTATAAAGTCAGGTTCATAATTCTTGTTTGATTTTTTTTTTTTAGTCTCGGGTATTCTAAGTTGTTTTCACTTTTATAATGAGACATTTCAACTTAAAATTTGGTAAATTGAGTTGACTTGAACCCAGCTGGACAAGTTCATGGTAAATCTGGTGTTTTGGAGGAAAAATTTGTGTTTTGGATAAAAATGACTATGAAAGGTATTTTAATGTTTCATTTGTTGCTGTATGGATTGTCATTCTTAATGCATTTCAGCAATTCAAACCATCTAATCTGCATATCATTTGTTCGTCATCCATACTGTCAGATCGAGCTGCCGGATCTTGGGAAGCTGACGAAACTGAGGATCTGGCATGAGAAGAGGAATCCCTTCGCCGGCTGGCATCTGAGTCGAGTAAGAGCTCGAGATCGAGTGTTTCACAGTGATTTACTGTGACATGATCTGAATAACGGTCTGCTTTATGTCTCCTAAGATGTCCATAATGAAAACTTTAACGAAGGAAACGTATAAGTTCCCATGCGAGCGCTGGCTGGACACTAACGAGGACGATAACGAGGTTGTGCGAGAGCTTCCGGCCACAGGCGAGCTGATCCCAGAGCCGCTGCCAGGTATAAAGATTCATTACAAACTCTAGTCTGTTGCTGATTATAAGTTACATTTATAAAGTAATCTATTTGATTACACATGTTAGCTTACACATGTGTTCTGGCAAAGTATGATTTAACATGTTAAATGTTAACAATAAGCATGTTGGAGCACATTGCTAGCATGATTAGCATGTTGCTAGCATGATTTAGCATGTTGTTAGCATGATTTAACATATTGTTTTACTATGATTTAGCAGGTTGTTAGAATGATTTAACATATTGTTGGCATGATTTAGCATGTTGCTAGCATGATATAGCACACTGCTAGGATGATTTAGCATGTTGCTTGCATGATTTAGCATGTTGCCTGCATGATTTAACAAATTGTTGGCATGATTTAACATGTTGCTAGCATTATATAGCACACTGCTAGCATGATTTAGCATTTTGCTTGAATGATTTAACACATTGTTAGCATTATTTAACATTTTGCTAGCATGATTTAACATTGTTAGCATGATTTCGCACACTGCTAGCATGATTTAACATGTATTCTGGCTACGTTTAGATGACCTTTGAATTTTAACTCATTTATCACATAGATTCAGTGATGGGAATAATGGCGTTATACTAACGGCATTACTTTTTCCAGTAACGAGTAATCTAATTGATTACTCTTCTCATCTTAATAACGCCGTTACCGTTACTGCCAAAAAAAGCGGCGCGTTAGGCTACTATAACTGATGAAGCTGTTTTTTTTTTCATCAGACCAACTAGATCTCTGAGCGAGAGGCAAATACTTTGTTTACTGTTCTTCCTTGGTTAGTGGGCAGAGCACGAGACAAGCTCATAAATGCTGACGATTGGCTGAGGTAGAGTAAAATGTCATTGTAAACCAATCAGAGGTAGAGTTAGACGGGTCTTCGAAAGCACGCATAGTAGTGATGGGCATTCGGCTCTTTTGTCTCAGCTCACTGAGCCGGCTCTTTTGGCTCACAAACGGCTCTTTAAATGACTTTGACTATAATATTTCAATTTTTATTACATAATTATTTAATTTCTATAGGCTAAATTTGTAAAAATAGAGTCGGCTCTTCAGATATGCGAGATATGGCTCTTAGAGTCGGCTCATTCGCGAATCGCGAACGACCCATCAAAAGCTTATTCGCGAACGAGTCGATCCATCATCACTAACGCTCATTCGCGAACGCCTCATCATCACTAACGGCTAACGCTCATGAATTGCGAACGACCCATCATAACGCATAGTCGGACAGGACAGGACACACAAGGAACAACACAAGACAGTCAGTCTTTTTGGTATATTGCTTAACAAGCTTAATTTAATTTTGCCCAGTTGTGGCCTGTTGAGGGGCAATAAATATCAAAAGTTCCAAAACATCTATTGTGTTATTTGCATTGATCCACTATATAAACATAATATCTACATACATGGCATTTGATTGGAGGCTAGTCTCACTTTGTCCCACAACAACATTTTTTTTTTAGATGTGTGTACAATGTTTCATGTTTCTGTTAATAATGTAGGCCTACTGTATTAAGTGTCCATTTCATTATAATATTCAGATTTATCATAAATAATTGAACATGCACATGTATTTTAAGTTCTGTTAAAGAGGGGTAGAGGTGGGGTCACATTTGAGCATTTAAAATTTAATTTTACTTGAAAGTAACGCAATAGTTACTTTCTTAAGTAACTAGTTACTTTTAAAATTTGTAACTGAGTAACTAATTTAGTTACTTTTTGGAAGAAGTAACTAGTAACTGTAACTAATTACTTTTTAAAAGTAACTTGCCCAACACTGCATAGATTTGGTCCTTTTGTGTCAAATCATATCAGAAAATACATTCTGTAACACTTAACAATAAGATGCATTTCATTTGTTAACATTAGTTAACTATATTAGTTAACATGAACTAACAATAAGCAATACTTCTACAGCATTTATTAATCTTAGTCAAACATAATTTCAACATTTACTAATACAGGTTTAAGTTCCAAAGTTGGATCTCTAAATAATAGTTAATGCACTGCTAACATGAACATCAACAAACAATGAAAAATTGGATTTTTACTAACGCTATACATAATCTATATAAAAAGGTAAATATAAAACTAGATTAAAGAAATTGTCGAGAAATAGTTTCTAGCATGATTTAACATATTGTTAGCTTGTTGCTAGCATGATTTAGCACATTGTTAGCATGATTTAGCATTTTGCTAGTTTGATATAACACATTGCTAGCTTGATATAACACATTGCTAGCTTGATATAACACATTGCTAACATGTTGGTAGCATGATTTAACACACTGCTAGCATGATTTAGCTCATTGCTAGCATGATTTAGCACATCGTTAGCATGATTTAGCATGTTGCTAGTTTGATATAACACATTGCTATCTTGATATAACACATTGCTAACATGTTGGTAGCATGATTTAACACACTGATAGCATGATTTAGCAGGTTTGTTCGTATGATTTACCATGTTGCTAACATGATTTAACAAATTTGCTAACAAGAATCAACACATTGCTAGCATGTTGATAGCACAATTTAGCATGTTGCTAACATGATTAGGGGAGAACATAATTTTTGCAATGCACTTAATTTGTGGAATATTCTGATTATGTCGATCTGAGTCAGCTATTATGACCCACCAGTGATTATTACGCATTATGTAGCATGTGTTTTCCGTGATCAGAACAGACGTGCAGTATGACCCTCATGTTGCTCTCTAATGTACATCTGTGTTGTTTCCCCCAGTCATCAAGTATCGCGTCACCGTCTCCACGGGGAACGTGAGCGGCGGAGGAACGGACGCCCATGTGTTCCTGTGTCTGATCGGAGATCTGGGAGACACGGGCGAACGCACGCTAATCAACTGCAAGAACAACGTCAACAAGTTTGAGAAGGGCAACGTTAGTGCAGTTCCTGTGGAGATCTAGAAGTGACTCGCTCTCGGCACATCTTAGAATTCATTTAATGTTATATTTTTATGATTTAAAGACATGAGAATTCAAATTTGCCTTGTTCTTTTGACATATAAGAGGCTTAAAACGTCGTCCTCATTATAAACAATGCATTTATTTAATCAAGCTCCAAAAACAGCTCGTTTTGATATTGCAGGATCTGTGACGTCACACAGGCAAATATATTTGCATATGCCCGCCCCCAGATAAAGACATCGACAAATAGTTATAGATATCAAACCATAGGCCCCGCCCACTGCAATCATAGGCCCCGCCCACTGCCGCTCAGTCTCTTAATGGCTGACATTCGCAAATGTACAGGTGAAACTCGAAAAATTAGAATATGGTGCAAAAGTTAATTTATTTCAGTAATTCAACTTAAAAGGTGAAACTAATATATTATATAGACTCATTACATGCAAAGTGAGATATTTCAAGCCTTTATTTGTTAGAATTGTGATGATTATGGCTTACAGATATGAAAACCCCAAATTCAAAATTAGAATATTGTGAAAAGGTTTTCATATCTGTAAGCCATAATCATCACAATTATAACAAATGAAATATCTCACTTTGCATGTAATGAGTCTATATAATATATTAGTTTCACCTTTTAAGTTGAATTACTGAAATGAACTTTTGCACCATATTCTAATTTTTCGAGTTTCACCTGTACTGTGAAGCACTTTGGATCGTGTTCAACTTGTGCTCTGTATATAAAACTTGACTTGACTAAGCTAAAATCTTCTGCTTGGTCTCAGGCTGACGAGTTCCTCATCGAGGCGGTGTCGATCGGGCACGTGCGCCGGGTTCGGATCGGTCACGACGGGCGAGGCGGAGGCTGCGGATGGTTCCTGGATAAAGTGCTGATCCGAGAGGAAGGCCAGGCCGAATCCCAGGCCGTCGAATTCCCGTGCAACAGGTCACAATCATGAACTTGCATCCAGATCAGTGCTTTAACACACAGAAGCGGCTCATGTCCTCGTCTCGTCTTCATCTGTGCAGATGGTTGGACCGCGGGGAAGACGACGGCCAGATCGTTCGGGAACTCGTGCCGTTCGCAGACGGACAAAGACTTTACAGTGAGTTTCTCCTGTTTCATATTATGCTTTTCATCTAGTCATAAACCAATAGATCAGGGGTTTCCAAACCCTTTTCTCAGCTGAAGCCCTTCAAGCTGCTTAGAATATTTTATATTTCAATAATATAACAGCACATCTGCACGTGAGCGGCTCTTCCCTGATGTCGGTCGCCTGACTTTCATCTTTTTTAGTGTTCTTTAGTATTTTGTTTGTCGTTATTTTAAAGTTTAATATTTAATGCATTTTTAGTAAGTGTTTTATTATGATTGTGTTTATTTTAATTTTATATATTTTTATTTTGTTAATTTTTAGTGTTTTATTTTAATTGCTATTATTTAGTTTTGTATTTTAAATTGTTATGCTTTAATTTTTATTAAGTGTCTTATTGTGGTTAATTTTATTTTAAAATGATTTAGTGCGATTTGACATTTTTATCATTTAGTTCATTTTTAGTAAGTGTTTTATTTTGATTTGCTTTTATTTTAAAATGGTTTATTTTTGTATTTTAAATTTTTATAATTTAATTAATTTTAAGTAAGTTAGGCCATGAGACGGGACCCCAAATTTGGGCTACCGGTACCATTTTGAGGGATTAAATTTCTTTTTGATTTTCATGAAGGTACACATCTCTAGTGTTGGAAAATGTGTGATAGCATCCGATCCATTGTAGCTTTCATTAGAAATCCACACTTATATCATCCTACCTCAAGGTAAGGTGTTCAGTGACTACAAGAGAGAAAAATGTATCCTTTTATAATTGTAAAAATTTATTTAAAAAAATTATAATTATAATCATCCTCCGTAACCAAAAACTACCTTGAATCTAATGCTATCACACTTTTTTTTTTACAGAGTCATATACCTACACAAAAATCACCATGCGGTTTAATCCCTCAAAATGGTACCAATCAACCCTCTGTCTCACGGCCTAAGTGTCTTATTCTGGTTTATTTTATTTTAAAATGATTTCAATTGTACATTTTTATCATTTAATTCATTATTATAAAAAACAGTTTGGGAAACCATGCAATCTGAGAACAGGGAACTCGCACTGCGTGGATGATGCTTTGGGGAACGCCTCCGCGTGAACCGGTGTCTGAAACGCTTATCAAATCACTGCAATCCTATTGGTCGGCGACAGCCTATGACGTCACTACTAGTGCGACCCGGAAGTATATAAGGGGAGCCTAGAGAACATGCCAACAACGTATCGTCTGAAGGGACTGTTCAGGATCCCCGAGGCGTGGCGAAAGACGCAGTGTCTCGTTCCCTGTTCTCAGGGAACAGAGGTTACAGTCGTAACCTAGATGTTGCCTTTCGAAAGGGAACTCGCACTGCATCGATGACGCTTTGGGGAACGATATACCAACGCCACCATGCTGAGGGGAGGGCATGCCAAGTTATGGCTGTGACAAAAACGTCAAAAAACAGCAGTTTCACTGAAATGGCCAAACGCTCCCCCTTCAGGTCACATACAGGCGAAAGCTTATGAAAACCCCAAATTCAAAAATAGAATATTGTGAAAAGGTTTTCATATCTGTAAGCCATAATCATCACAATTATAACAAACAAAGGTTTGAAATATCGCACTTTGCATGTAATGAGTCTATAGAATATATTAGTTTCACCTTTTAAGTTGAATTACTGAAATAAATGAACTTTTGCACCATATTCCAATTTTTTGAGTTTCACCTGTAGTGTGAACACAGTCCATCGGGGGAGGGGTGAGCAATCGATCTCGGGTTCGGATTGGAACAGGCAATCAATCACCAAGTGTGAAAGCGCCCTCCGGTTCACGCTAACACCGTGTCCTAACTACACGCGACGCGATAAAATTCCAGCGACAGCAAGTGTGTCTGTCCACACTAGACGCGACGCGACTGTGAGACGCCACACGTCAATCAAAAATCACAGCCATTCAGAACAGCGTGTGGGCGGAGTCTCTCTGTGAAAGCGCACTCGCATTGGAAATGGGTAAGGACATAATCAAATCAAGAAATAACATTATTAAAAATCAAAACATTAACAAAATATACTCATTGACTAATTTTGTTATGAAGTACAGTTGTATGTTTGCATAGAATTCAGTTTAAACGCTATATTATATGCTTTCAAAATCTGAGGTAAATTATCCATTATCGCTTGTGGCACAGTGACCTATTTTTAACTAAAAATAAATAATGTGTACTCATAACCAGTGTAATTTCATTCAATGAGATCTCTGTGTGGGCGGATCTGTCAGCCGCGACGTCGCAGAAATAGGAACCGTTTCTAAATTTGAAACTTTGCGTGTCGCCGTCGCGTCTGGTTAGGACAAAAACTCGGATTAACATGGAAAAGAGACCTTTTATCGAGTGTAGTTAGGACACGGTGTGAGGCGTTCCCCAAAGCGTCATCGACGCAGTGTCTCGTCCCCTTTCGAAAGGGAACCCAGAATTCAGCACACAGATCAGATTAGCCGTTCGAGTTCACAGAAGGCAGATGAACGCTCACTAGCTGAAGATGAGAAATGCCTGTTTTCAGACGTCAGTTACCACATCGCAGTGAAGACGGGAAACGTCAGCGGAGGAAGCTCCGACTCTAAAGTGTTCGTCAAGTTTTACGGCGAGAAGGGAGACACCAGCAGGATGATGCTCGTGGTTTCCGACAACAACCTGCGCAACTACTTCGAGACGGGACGGGTGGATGTGTTCACCGTCGACACCGCGGACATCGGGCAGGTGTGTGTCGCTCTCGTGCCACTTCCAAACAAACACACACACATTAAAGTGCTCATATAATGCAGTGTGAAATATGATATATTAATTTTCCCAAAAGAAAGTCGATTCTGAACTGCACTCATTAATTCCAGTCTCACTTGAACTTGTCACTGTGTATCAAGAGCTGAGAGTCAGATATGATAATGAGCGTTTGGTTTCTGGCCAATCAGAGCAGAGCAGCTCTCAGAGAGGCGGAGCTTAGATTGACTGAATCCTCGATCGAAGCGTTTCAGACACTGAGGGAAAAGAGCTGATGCTGTAATGGAGATTATGAGAAAAGTAAATCTGTTGTAGGAGACCTTTAGAAGAACATTAGGAGCTTTAAAATAGCATAATGGGAGCACTTTAAACTCATTAAGATGTTGTTGTTGAATGCAGATCAACCGGCTCCTGATTGGTCACACTAACGAAGGGATGCGCGCCGGCTGGTTCCTGGACAGCGTTCAGATCATGGTTCCCAATCACGGGAATCACTACATGTTCCCGAGTCACCGCTGGCTGTGCCGAGACGAGGCTGATGGGAAGACGGAGGTGGAGATTTACCCCAGTGAAATACTGGACCTCGAACAATGTAAACGCGGTTTAGTTCAGTTTTACACTTTTATGATTTAATCCGTTTTAGTAAGTGTTTTATTTTGAACTTTTCAAATCTACATTCTTATATTTAATTCCTTTTTAGATCATTTTAGTTTTTTAATGATTAATAATTTAATTACTTTTTATAATAA